TAAAACTTACATGATAAATTATCAATTTCCATTGTATACTGAATCAAGGATGGTAAAGTATTGAACCTTATTATCAAAAAATCATTTGACAACCCATCAAATCTACTTTTATAGTATACGAAATAAGGTAGAAATTCCAATGATAATGTTCACTAATACAAGATTTCTAAGTACTTTACAATATATACTGGACATAAAGAAATCACAATTATTGAGATAATTTTTATAGGAAAGTATACATAACGCTTTGTATCCCCTGAATGAGAAGACAGATGTCCACATATATAATTTTTAAACATCAAATTTTCCCTAGTTTTGTTGCGAGTCCTTTATTACACACAATTCCAGAATTTACTTTTAGGTACACATTTCAAAAACAAGACCAAAAAAAACTTTTTTCGACTAGAGAATCGAGCCCATTTAAGCCACTCGACCTACAAGACAGTATGACTAAATTTCTTATTAAAAAATAATATGATAATCGACATTTTCTAAAATATAATATATGGACAAATTAATAATTACTTTATGTTAATCATGTTGTACGGTTTACCTAGGTAACTATTTGACGAGGTACTACACCTAGTTTCAAGCTTCTTTTGGGGCTTTTAGTCATGAGCTTTGTGACAAACGCGACCGAAGAAACCGGTTTTATTGTACCTTGTTAAAAAGTTACGCGAGCAAGACGTGAAACAACATAATTAATTTTATTATATATTTTACACCTAATAATATAATGAGAAGGTTGTAATTTTGGACTTTTAACTCGATGTAAGTGGTGAAATAAAGAATAGAGTAGAGTATCATGTGGTGTTAGCCGTCAAGTGATTGCTACTCTTATAAATGTATAATTGATGTCTGAACTCAATACCAAAAGTTTGTGTCAACAATTGGGTAGTTTCTTAAGTCAAATATAAATTAATTCGACGTTTCAATACAATAAAATATCGAAAAATAACTATACTTTTATTCATCGATCGATCGATACACTAAATTTTAGATAATTTTTAAGAAAAAAGTATGCTATTTGACGCAAAAATACTATGACGTCATAACTCAGTGTTTCATACAAATTTCATAGAAAAGTATCGTTTTTGACATTTGGATAAAAGTATTGAATTTGACTAGCTGGAAACTACCGTATTGTTGGTTAACCTGAACTAAATAAGTAAATATACAATGACTTTTAGCTAGTTATGATATGACTTTGGTACCGAGCTCAATTAAACCTAAAATAATAAAAGTATGTATCGAAAATAACTCGTCAAAACCGCCTATCTACCTTTGTTTTCACGACAAATTAAAAGTCCAATTACAAGCCATGGCAACATCGATTCCACACCCATTATCCCCACTAGCAACACCGTTAATACACCTACTGGTCGGATTAATACGACGTTAATATAACTAGAAGACGAAAATTTTATAAAAGTTTTTTTTTCAGTTCTAGAAAAATAGAAAACTACTGTCGCTTTTTTCATTTATTTTTATATAGAATTTTTGGTCGAATACAATAATTTTATCAATGATTTGGTTACGATTTTCGCTGTATAGATGGCGTTAATGTAAAGCGAGGTTATACAATAGAGTATTTTCTTGCGTGCCATGCCACCAACTTCTTAAAACAAAACCGTGGTTACTATACATTAGTACCATCTATACAAATAATGTAGCATTATTGTAGGATGACTATGAATTCTATGTAATAGAAAATTACCAATAACAATATACCGGCCACAATTTTAGACTTCGTACTAATACTGAGATATTTTCGAAAAATCGAAAAACTATTTTTTTTTTATTTCTGAATACTTTTTTGGACGCACTTATCTCTGGATGTTTCCAATCGAGTAACAACATATTTTGTGTTGGCTAGTCTAATTATCGAAGAAGGCTATAATGACTAGCGACTAACGGAGCCGAGCAGTGGATGTAACCGTTAAGAAGTTGATATCCCAGTGATTCTTTTCTGACCCAGATATCGGCCTAGAGCTCCTTTGTCAGTCACATACAGTCTCTAAATGTTGCACTAAGGTTGAATATTTGTATGACGTATGAACAAAAATAAACGCTAGAATGCAACGTGCATAAACTTTACGCACCCTTACGATAACGTAAACAAGTCATCTAGGTAAGTATATCTATATAGATGTATCTTTTTCTTTTATTTTAGTGAGTTGAACACAACGCCATCTAGTGGGCGAGATTGATATCATTTCATGTCTTTGTACAGGTAATGATAGAGTCTAAAAGTAATATTTATTCGTTCCGTTGAGTAACGAAAAACGCATCTAATATTCCTTCATTAATGAGTTGGATAAAATCAACTTTTTGTTTGATTTTAATAAAAATGAAACCACTTAGAAAAAAAACAAATACGTACCTATTAAAGGCAAAATGACGAATGGCGTTTCTTTTAAATTACTGGCTGACATTGTGGGCTACGTCAAAAACAGACTTCAAAAAAGTAATTTTAAGACTATGAGCGATATAATTTTATATATTTATAATGAAAGAATTTGAACTTTATTACCTATGAAATAAAGCTGCAAAATAAAATACAGATTCTGATTGTTATGGGCGTGAACAGGTAGTATTTTAAATAGTATCTACTATTTATACAAGCTAATATTTTTTACATACATTAATAATATATATTTCTATGATTAGGTAAATAATTCTATTAAACTATTGATATAATTAAGAAGCATTTTTTTATTATTCTTAATATTGATTTCAAGTTTCGGTGGGAAATGCTACATTTTTATATGAATTAGTCAAGGTTATAAAAGTATAGCTAACCATTTTTTTATTTTTTAACTAAATTACTTTATTAGCAAGTTTTATAGAAATAAGTTTGCCATATGACAAAAAAAAAGTATAGCGTGCTAATTCGCAGAAAACTGGCTATTTTGACGATGCCAAAAAATATTGAATTTCAATTACGAAAATCAATAAACTTGACAGTATTTAGCATGATACAAGAATCTAGACCCAAACTTGCAAACAGTGATTGTCGAGCAAGTCACATTTAAAAATGAAATCAATATTAAAGAATAACTGATAAATAATTTTCTGTGCGCAAATAACTTAGTGGATTTCGTTTATAATAATATTTATATTATATATATATATATGATTATCTTCTCCAATCCAAAAAAATGTGTGATCGCAGATTAGAACAAATCTGCTAAATCCTTCGTATGGGTGTCATAAGAGTTGACTAAGGGTTCTGATAATTGTCTGACCGAGCAACAGCGCTCTCGACAATAACCAAATCGTTTTTGTATTGTGGGATTGGCTTAACACAGCTTTCCTTTAAGTCAGGATAGAAAAAACCTAAACACCTCTCAGGCCTCCCTGGCACATGAATGACTGTCTTCGAACCAGCAACGAAATCAATCAGAAGATATTATTTGAGGAGAAGGTAAGAGAAATAGTTTCCACTAATCTGGGTTAATTGGAAAGACAGCAGGAGACAGAATAAGTTGAGGCTTAAAAATACAAAAGAGACTGTGCAAGTGAGAGAAGTCCAGTCACAAAACACCACTGTCTTAAAGTCAATATTTTTTATATGGTGGTATTACGTTTTCCTTTCGATCACAAACATCATATAACATCATATTAACGTTCACTGTTGCACACAGTTCAACTGTGGACTTTTGATGATAACTGTAAAACTTTTTGGATTGGACAAGATTATTTAATATAGTAGATTATGTTTCAATTATATAATAATACTGTTAAGTAGATAGGAAACTTAGGACTAGTATGGCATTTTAGGATACACGTAGGAAAATAATGTGTACTTAATTAGGTATTATATATCATATTTACAACATATAATTACGCGGGTGTTAACGCGGAAAATAATTATTTAAATACCTTGGAAGGCTTTTTTTGTGAGGGGAAAATCATCAAATGACTTGTCCCGCCCAGGGCCGGGCGGGAGGGAGAGTCAGACTCTTACTGACTAAAAACCCCCCTGTTCCTTCTCCTGCTTTGGGCCGAGGTCGCGGTGCCTCATTGTGCTTACCCCGCAACCCCAGCTGAACATCAGTCCTATAGGGCCCCGTCTCTGGTGGTCTATTGACTCTTTGAGGCGCGCGCGGAACTCTACGCGCCGTACTCTCGGGTCTGGTTTTGATCGGGCGGCGAGCTGCCCTTACTCACCGACCGCAGACCCGCGCTTACGGTGACCGGAGAACGTCCCTTGACCTTGGTAGGCTTGAAGTATCGATCTGGTTGCATAGGTCGTAGTCGCAAGCAATTAAATAATTATTTTCCGCGTTAACACCCGCGTGATTATACCAATGTTGTAAATATAAAACGCGAAAGTTTAAAAATTAGTATTATTTTGAGTACTTGGACATGACATTTTGGCTTCATAAATAATATACTGAAGGCTGAAATTAATCTTAAATTTTTAAGGATCTTTCTCTGTTTTTAATAAAAAAAAAAACATATGAGGTAATGTCAACAAAAATGTTGATTCTAAGACTGTTTGCAAGCGATGATTGATTGTATATGTACTATATATACTTAGAACCTGTTTCACACTTTTTCCCTACATAACTAACTATGTGACAGGAACATTTGAATATAGTGTTATTTGTATGTCTTATCTGCCACATAAGTTTATAGGTCACTTATGTAGTAATGAAAAAGGCTCTTAGTACAAGAATGCTTAAAAATTTGTCCGTCTGTATGATCCAATCTCAGCTACGAACATGGTTTAAAAAATTAAACATTTTTAGTTTAAAATAATTTACATACTTACTCAGAAAACGTTTTATTTTTCGCACACGCGCACTCAAACACACACAAAAAACCTATAAGTCTCATATAATTTTGTTACATCAAAAAGTGACACGTAAAAATCACTATTGTATAAGAGGTACATAGAGTTCACTATAGTTTAGTCACTTTTCACACAAAGTCGCTGAGTCGCGCTACAAGTCGCGCCACTAGTTGCGCCACAAATCACTTAGTACACGTTTTTAATGTTGCGTTAATGAGGTGAAGTATCGGAGCAGATCGCTGTCGGCTCTCAGAACCCACGCTGCGTTTAGCGCTATTGTGTCTAACGCTGTCGAGGCGCCTCGATAATCTCCGAATAGCTCCTTGAACTGTGGGAAAGAACGGAAGATAAAACATTTTAAATGTAAGACGCCGTAATGTAGGACAGCCAAGCTTTGGCACGAATGGGTCAGCCCGACCGGAGCGATACCACGGCCTAACAGAAAACCGGCGTGAAACAACCTCAACTTTGAGTTTCGCCGTGTGAGTGAGGTTACCGGAGGCCTTATGCCTCTTCCTCCCCTCATCCCTTCTCAATCTTAAAATATCCGAAATCCCTTATCTCATAAAGGTCGGCAACGCACTTGTAACTCCTTCGGTGTGGCGTGTGTCCATGGGCGGCGCTGATTGCTTACCTTTACTTCAGATAATCCGTCGTTTTGCAAAATCTTTTTGACAAAAATGGATTAAAGAGAAGCAAGAATCTTTATTTGCTATGAATGTAGATACAAGTATAAGATGTTACATATAAATTAATGAGATCCATTATAATCTATCTCAAGAATATGTTTATATAATTAAAATAAAGTGTTTAGGTACTGTAGTTTTAATGGTCACAGTAGCTACACAACGACACCGGTCAATAATCATATATTTCTTCTTAAAAGTACACCAGACATTTATAGTGGCCACTAGTTAAAAATATTATATTATCTTACCCGATAGTAATCATATGGCTGGTACAAGCAGCGCGCGGCGGCCTGCAGCGCGGCGGGCGGCAGTACCGCCTGCGGCCGCAGGACGCGCCATACCCCCGCCGCGCCGCGCCATCTAGTTCGCACAACAGAAAAACACAAATCAACTACTGCCATCTAGTAGCGGACATTAGCAACTACACTATAAAATTCTATGTCGAACGCCATCTAGTGGTAGACATCGAAAGTTACCAAACTACGTATTACGCTTATTATTCGTTATTCGAAGTAAACAATTACTTCTGTTTTAAAAAGAATTAATCCTTTTAATAAGTATTATAAAAGTGAAAGTTTTCTAATATCAACGCATGTACGTTTGTTTTTTTTTGACGCAAAACCGACCGATTTAGAACCGATTTCGTATGTAAATAGTTATGTCAATGAACACCTAGGCTGCTTTCTATCAACATACCACGCGGGCGAAGCCACATGCTAAAGTTTGTAAAACATATAATATTTTAATACAGACCTGCAAGTAGCTGAACACAGCGCAGTTATCCAAAGCCGCCACTCTCGACTCCTTTGCGCTTCATTCGATAACGTGGCAAATGCGAATCTGAAAAAATATAATCACTACATAGTATAAAACAAAGTCGCTTTCTCTGTCCCTATATCCCTGTGTAAGCTTAAATCTTTAAAACAACGCAACGGATTTTGATGCGGTTTTTTTTCTGTAGATAGAGTGATTGAAGAGGAAGGTTTATATGTATAATAACGTCCATTAAGTAGTGGAGAAATTTAGTATTGCAACCGTGCGAAACGGGCGGTTCGCTAGTAAAATACATTTTCAGATACAGACATATATTTTTTATACTCTTGAGCAAGAGTTTTAATATGAAGTTAAAGAGGAAAATCTTCAGTGATGCATATACATATATTTTTTTATAGCCTATTGTGTCCCACTGCTGGGCAAAGGCCTCCCCTTTTACCTTCCAAACTTCTCTGTCTAGAGCGATCTCCGGCCAAGTTTGCCCCGCAAACATGATCAGATCGTCACACCACCTCCGCCGTGGTCGACCTCCTTCAGGTGTCCAGTGAGTGACAATCTCAAAGTTGGTTACTTACTGAATAGCAAAAGTCCAAACTCAAGATTTGTCAAGGGGCAATGGAGCGCAGCATTTTAGGTGTTAAGCGAATCGCGTTAGAAACACCACGCTGCGCTCCATACATACAACAGCCAGGCTGAAGTGGGAGTGGGCTGGCCACGTCGCACGAATGCACTCGGACAGATGGGCGAAGGTTGTCACTCACATATACATATACAAATAAATAATTTTTCATCTTTTTAATAACCACGTAATACATATAAATATCATGTTTTATCTGTGACAGAGCCAAGTCTCGACAACCATGGCGTTGTGTTTCGCCAAGTGAGTGAGGTTACCGTAGGCCCAATCTTTCCCCTTTTTCCTATCCCAATCGCTAAAAGGTCGGCAACGCACGCGTAACTATTCCGTTGTTGCGGAAGTCCGCTGATTGCTTTTGATTACCATCAGGTAATCCGTCTGCTAGTTTGCCGACCTGTGACAACAAAACAACCATTCCATACTATTCGATAGGAAAAATCGCCTTACCTATAAAACAGCCAGTCGTCCTTAGGCGACGCTAGCGCCACCAGTAGCGCCCTGTGTGAGTAGAGAGGTCGCGGCGCGGCGGAGGACGCGGTGAGGGCGCGCCAGCATGCGGCCCAGCCTGACTCGCCGTGCGTACGTACGCCCGCTGTGAAAGCCGCCTAGCGAAGGACAAAAAAAAAATTTTTTAGTTTTTTTATTAGCTCCTACAGATCGTATATTTCATTTATTTGTCTCCTCACATAAAAAGCTGCTTACCTCCTGGTAAATTTCAGGTATGGTCTGATTAGTCTCCAGCCAAGCGTCGAACAGTTCTACAGCTTGCTTGGTGACAGCAGGGTTCTCCCATTCCACTCCAGCAGTCAGGAGTGCACCGCTTAACCAACTGGAAAGAAAGACAGTCCTCATCATCGTCAGCTTATAAGTGCCCATTCAGCATCATCAGCCCGACATCAGGCCATCCACAGCTGGACATAGGCCTCCCCAATCGCACGCCACTGAGCTCGATGTTCAGCTCTTCTAATCCAACCACTGCCAGCCACCCTGCGGATGTCGTCAGTCCACCTAGCTTGAGGGCGCCCTTCACTACGTTTGCCTAGACGTGGTCTCCACTCTAGAACCCGTTTACCCCAACGGTCATCGGTGCTTCGACAGATGTGACCTGCCAACTCACCCTGCCACTTCAGTTTGCTAATCCTTTGGAGAGACTCCATGCATAGCCCTTTCCATAGCTCGCTGAGCGACTTTAAATTGGTGGATCAGTCGTACTGTAAGTGTCCACGTCTCGGCTCCGTATGTCATCACTGGTACGATGTACTCATTGAAGACTTTTGTCTTCAGTGATCGGCTCCGGGAGAACATGTTCATTGAACATGATCTTCGTTTTACAAGTGCCCACTGCTGAGTAAAGGCCTCTTCTCACACGGAGAAGGTTTGAGCATTACAGCACGCTTGATCAAGGCGGATTGGCTATTTCCAACTTTTATTTAGAAATCATAAGTCCAAGTTTTATGGCGATGTTTTCCTTCACCGTATGTCAGTGGTGTCTAAGTAATTTAAACAATTGATAATAATATGATTTAAGAATGTCATATTCAATATCTTTTGAACTAAAATACATGTATCAATCGAAAATCGGACATCATTAATGACACAATGAAACATTTTTGGTTATCTTACTAATATTAAAATGCGAAAGTTACGATGTTTGGATGTTTGTTCATCAAATACGATGAAATTTGGCACAGGCATATGATACACTCCGGAATAGGACATAGTCTAGCGCGGGCAGAAGCTAGTAGGTTTCAGCCGGGGTTGCGGGGTAAGCGCAATGAGGCACCGCGACCTCGGCCTAGAGCCGGAGGAGGAACAGGGGGTTTTTAGTCAGTAAGAGTCTGACAATCCCTCCCGCCCGACCCTGGGCGGGAGAAGTCATTTGATGATTTTCCCCTCACAAAAAAAAGAAGCTTGCAGGCAATAAAACGGCACTTTTACACGTCAAAATTACTGTGGACCCCCGACAATCCGGCCCCTGTCTAATCCGAGGCCCCCTGTAATCCGGCATGACTTTGAATTATGTTTCACAATCTTCGCTAATGTAGATCACGCAGGTATGGACACAATTCGTACGCGCCACCTATATTGTGCTCGACGCGTACGCATTGTTTTACTTAGTTTGAATTTGACTACTAGTGATAGCGGTACGGCATAGCGTACGTTCATTGTTTACTATTTATTCATTGTGTAAGTATTAGATACAGTACCTGGTAATGTCGTCACAAACCCAGAAGCGAAAGCACAAAACTTTGACAATATAACAATGATGTATAAACCTATAGATACGTTGTCCGCGCTCTAAAATGACAACATGAAATGAAGGCAAATTGACAACATCGCGCTTAGTTACGCACCAACCTGCCGCGCGACGCTACGTTTGTTTTTAATTTATATCGTGTGTAAACCTGTGCGAAACATAAAGAAAGCATGTCGTCGTGTGTGTTCACACGATGTACAAATTATACTCCAAAAGTTAAAGACAAAAATGTGTCATTTCATGCGTAAGTTCACCAAACAACCTATTTTTATTTTATTTTTTTCGACGCCGGCGCCCGCCATCTTATGGCGGCCGGCGCATGAAGGTATAGTCACGTGCCGTCGGCATAACTGAAGACGTATATTTATCTCCCTCTAGCAAAGGCATTCCACTATACGATGTCATATTTTCTTTCCCTTTCTTTACTCGTAGAAGTAGTTATCTAGTATTTTCGCCGTTTTTAAGCGCTGCGATGTTGGTTCATGACGTGTCTATATATAATACGTCATTGCAATATAACATATAATTAATTAGATTCTTATCATTGGATATATGTAATTTGTCGGATTACTAGGTACTCTTTTGTAAAAACATCCGGACTATAGCGGTCTTAGGCAGTGCTCTATAATCCGACAAATTCGATAGTCCGACACTGCCCTGCATAGTGTTTGTCGGATTACCGGAGGTCCACTGTATTATGATGTATTTATTGTCCAAATTTTACTTACAGTAGATCTTCTCCTAGACCAGCTCCTTGCAACTGTTCATTGGAGTAGACCACTACTTTAGCTGGATGTAGAGTCTTCAGGAGTTTGTTCAGATGAGGACCTGAACTCGCCAGCGTGAGGAGTTCCCTCCACCAGGAGAGATGATTCAGGACCACTCGCCACGGAGCCCAATGAGTTTCTGAACTAAGTCGAGCTAAAACAGTTAAAAATAATAGAAATTAAGTTTAGGTTTTAAACGGGCCGACTGATTACCTGATGGTAAGCAATCAACGCCGTCCATTAACACTCGCAATCCCAATGGAATAACTATGAGCTGGCCTGTCGTGGGTTGTTAAAGATTAGGGGATTTGAGGATAGAGCATGGGGGGGGGGGAGGGCAGGGGGCAAGATTGGGCCTTCTTTGTGTCAACAAATTGTTGTTCCGGGTACTGGGTGTGATGTGTATGTGAAATTGTATGTTTGTAAACGCACCCACGACACAGGAGAAGATCCTAGTGTGGAGCAACGTTTTAACAAAACAAACGGAGACAGAACAAGAAGTGTGAGAGAGCTTCGGCACAAATGGGCCAGTTCGATCACCACGATACCAGGGCCTCACATCAAACCCGCGTGAAGTAACACTCACGATGTGTTTAGCTGTGTGAGTGAGGTTACCGAAGGCCCACTTCTACCCCTCCCCCCCCCCCTTACTACATCTTCTATCCTCAAATCTCCTATCGCACACATTTGTAGTAACTTCTTTGACACTACGGTTGTCCATGGGCGGCGCTGATTGCTTACCATCAGGTAATCCGTCTGCTCGTAGCCGACCTATGCCATTAAAGAAAAAAACTTTGCACCTACCTAAAATACCTCTTTAACTAAATTGCTAACGCCTTTGGCACTACGAGTGTCCACGGGCTGATAGCTTTTTTATAGTATGGTCGGCAAACGAGTAGCCGGGTTACCTGATAGTAAGCAATCGCAACACAAAAGGAGTGATGAGTGCGTTGCCGGCCTTTTAGGGGTGAGGGTTTTTTCCCCTGACAAAAAAAAGGGGTGAGGGTTTTGGATATTTAAGGATTTGGAAGGGGGGAAGGGGGAGGGATTGCGCCTTCAGTAGTCTCTCTCTCACGGCGAAACACAACGTTGTAGTTGTTTCACGCCGGTTTTCTGTAAGGTCATGGTATCACTCCGGTCGAGCCATTCATGCCGAAGCTTAGTTCTTCCACAGTTTAAAAAAAATAAACTCACCGGCGGCAGCAATAGCCCTGCTGGCGGGGAGCCTGCCCGCCCTGCTGAGTACGAAGGCGTCGTCCAGCAGCAAGGCACGCTCGGCGGCCCCACCGCTCGCATACAGTTCCGCTGCACGAGACGCCGCTGCCTCTGCTGACTGGAAGACCAAGGGATATTTATGAATAGTATAAGCGGAGCATTCCCGAGATCGTTAGGGCCGTTTCCAAGATTAATTCTATTTGGCGCATGCATAATCAGCGCCATCTGCCGAAGTAATTTGTGAATCTAACTAAGCCATCCGGGGCGCCACGCAAACGCATACAGAAAAAAATATTTAAATCGAGCCGTTTAGGAGGAGTGCAATGACATACTCACTTACAGAAATACATACAATTATTAAGATTAAATATCACTACGTATTATAAAAGTCCTGCAGTGTGATTCTGTAAGGCTTCATTCTAAACTTCGAATCTGAATCCGCTGTGAGTAGTAGTACACTAGCGCTACACTTGCGAGTTGAACTAAATTGACAGCAACATTTTGATAGATAAAGTATGAAATGACGTTAAAAGTGACATTCTAAAATTTAATTTCCCCGTCACTTCGACACTCACTTCGCACTCGAACACGATTCAAAATCAAACAAATTTTATAGAATCGACGTGCTGTTTGTGTGAGTGTGATTTATATATTTGTAAACGCACACACAACACAGGAAAAAATCTTAATGAGGGGCAAGGTATTTTTCTAAAATATTATAATAAACTAGCTGGTCTCGTGCGGTTTCACTCGCTGCTCGGCTCTATTTAATCGTAGCGTGATAATTTATAGCTTATAGCACTCAAGAACATTGTAGCTATCTATCAGTGAAAGAATTTTGGCAATCCGTCCAGCGGTTCCAAGGATTACCCCCTACATACAAACTTACAAATTTTACCTCTTTATAATATTAGTATAGATAAGAATTCTTACCTCTCCATCAGTTCTATCTTGCGGCGCTACCCGATAGAGGCCTCTCGCTCCAACATTGTATCGAACCCATTTGTGCTTGCCCAAATCTGGTATTACCACTGTAAATAAAAAAAATATATAAAGTAGAGATAAGAAAGAAAAGAAAGAAAAAAAAGAAAAAACATTTATTTGAAACTCGCACAGAAAATAAATACAATTACATTTTATAAATACAAAAAGAAAAAACAAACAAAAATAAACAAAACAACAACAAAAAAATATATTAAAATAAAATAAAAGACCTGTGCGAGGTCAAAAAGGCCACTATCTCAGCATATGCTGCGATAATTCACCAGTAGGTAAAAATACCGCAGCGCTGGTATTCTGATAGGGCCTGGTGATGCCACGGACACACTCACGGAACACAGAAACAGATATAGGATGATGAGAATAGATCAGTAGAAAACTAACAATATTGTGCGTTTTAAATTCCAAAATACGTAATTACAGGTTGGCAAATTTGCCGCATTTGCTGAAAAACTATTTTAGTGTTGCAAGACCGTAAAAACATTCGCGCCTCTGTTGTTTTTTTATTACAGCGCCATCTATGAAATAAGTCTCGAACTACATTTTGTACTTGAGCGATACAATAATCAATATTCGAGCGAGCGCTTGTTTGAGCGCTAACGATAGTCAATGCTCTCTTGACATCCACACATAATTTATTTGCAGCAAAATGGAGACATGTATATCGGGAATGCCTGCGATTTTGTGTACAATACTACCACTAATGTTAGCTTATCATAGAAACTCAGATAATATAATTGCTTCCCTAACTGTATCATGTATACTTGGCCTTACCAATCTTGAAAAGCGGAGACAAAGAGGAAACCTTATTGAGACTTACAAAATAATGAGTGACTGCTACAACGTTCCTAGACTTAAGAATATGTATCTTCTTTATAAAAATCGAAATTTGAGAGGACACTCATTAAAACTATGCAGAACATCCTCAAAACTGAATCCCTTGACACACTTCCTACCTAATAGGGTGGTCACGGAATGGAATAAACTCCCAGAAAATGTGATAAAAGCACCCACAGATAATTCTTTTAAAAACAGACTCGACAAAATCTCCAAATCCATTAATACGCACGCATCAGCTTTCTAAGCTGCTAGTGTTCAAGTATATAATAATAATAATGTATGGGTGTAAGCTGCGAAATCACTTCACAGTATAAAACAAAGTCGCTTTCTCTGTCCCTATATACCTATGTACGCTTAAATCTTTAAAACTACACAACGAATTTTGATGCGATTTTTTATTCGACAGAGTGATTGAAGAGGAAGTCTTATAAATATGTATAACTAGCGGTCGTCCGCGGCCGCGCCCGCGTGGATGTCGATTTAACACTTTTTCGAGTTCCCACTTTTCTGTTGAAATTTTTCCTGATTTTTTTTTCTTATAAACCTCACGGAACCCGATACCTTTCCAACGAATGCAAAACTGTGGAAATCGGTTCGTGTGTTCTGAAGTTATAGGGTCAGGAAGATAAACCCGACTTATTTTTATACATATAGGTACTCGGCTCCTTTTGATCGTAGCGTGATGTTTTATAGCCTATAGCACTCAGGAACATTGTAGCTATCTATCAGTGAAAGAATTTTGGCATCCGACTAGCGGTTCCAAAGATTACTACATACAGACTTACAAATTTTACCTCTTTATAACATTAGTATAGAAGTATAGATAACATCCATTAAATAGTGGAGAGGTTTAATATCAGCATTGAAATTGCAAAGCTGGTGTAGTTCGCCAGTAAAGAAAATAAATATTACTTACTTTCAGTATCATTCATCCATATCAAATGAGTGACGTTCTCAGCCCACCGCGATGACTTAGTTTTATTGTTTGATGTTACATCATACCTAAGAACAAGAAACAAACGAATGTTAGGTTTTTTTTTAAGTGGGACAAGCCCGCCGCAACCTCCCAATCCGCTAAGAGGGAGGCGGCCCGCGTGAGGGAGCAATCCTCCTCCTCACGCTCCAGCCGCCGCAATAGGCGGCATTCCGGGCGTCGGGGATCGAGAGATGATCTCCGGCCACCGTAAGCGCTGGTCTGCGGTCGGCGAGTAAGGGTAGCTCGCCGCCCGACCAGAACCAGACACGAGCGTACGGCGCGTAGCGTTCCGCGCGCGCCTCATAGAGCCAATAGACCACCACAGACGGGGCCCTACAGGACTGATGTTCAGCCGGGGTTGCGGGGTAAGCGCAATGAGGCACCGCGACCTCGGCCCAGAGCAAGAGAAGGAACAGGGAGGGAGGTTGTAGTCAGTATGAGTCTGACACTCCCAGAAGTCTATCCCGCCCGAAACTCACAAAAAAACCCAGACCCAGAACAACAATTTCTGGATTACATAAAAAGTTGTTCTGTGCGGGAATCGAAGCTGCAACACGTTGCACGGCAGCCAGTTTCCCAGCCACCGTGCCAACCGTGCAGTCAGTTTTCCTTCCCCAAACATACGACCTTAAAGATTGGTAATTCAAAACACTCACCAAGTAGCATTATGATAATTCTGAGTAACATTTTTCCACGCTGTTATATTAGCTTCCTCTTCATCGCCTTCCAGAGGGCCCACGACGAATGTCACAGGTACAATCCATTTGTGAGGAGGGGCTTTTGTGGTCTTGACTGTGGTACGACGTGTGGTTGGAACAGGAGTCGTCGTGGTCGTCGAGTTAATATCATCTTCTGTATCTGTGAAGTTATCTGAGGGGAAAACGCGGAATTTTTTGGGTTAAATATGTAATAGTAGGAGGCATACAAAGAAGAAGTGTGGGAGAACCATGCTTCGGGAGTGATAGCACGGCCTCTCAGAAAACTGGCATGAAATAACCATAGAGTTGTTACCCATCCCTTCCTAATCCTAATTCTTAAATATCCGCTACTCTTATCCCTAAAAGACCGGCAATGACCTCGTAACTCCTTTGGTGTTGCGAGTATCCATGGGCGGTGCTGATTGCTTACCATCAGGTAATCCGTCTGCTCTTTTGCCATAAAGAAAAGAAGACCTGACGAGAACAATCGAAAGGGAAGGAAGAAGAGTCACAGGCGCGTTGTCAGCCTTTTAAGAAGGAATACGCTCGTTTCTGGAAGGTTTGAAGGTCGTATCGGTTCGAAAATACCGCCACCGAAAGATCATTTCAAAGTTTTGCTGTGTGAAGCAGAAAGTTTCTCGAAAATAGCCCAGTTGTTGACTGCCAACCATCTGTATGATGGGGATGAAAGTATTTCCCCTTACGTAAGCAAGATTAGTAATATTAGGCTGGATAAAATTACTTATGGTTTTAAAATAGAAACGTTGCATTTCACCCCGCAGTATCAGAGATCCAGTCTTTCCTCCCCATCCTCAATCCCCAGAACCCCTATCTCTAAATTCCCTAATAACCTACAAAGGGCCGGCAACGCACTTGTAGTATCTTCTTTGGTATAACGAGTGTCCATGGGTGCCGCAGATTGCTTAGCATCAGGTAATCAGTTTGCTAGTTTGCCGGCTTATTAAGAAAAAATGCATATATTGTAGTGTCTATCGCCTGGACAGTCACCGCTACGATCAATTGACTGGACAATCTCTTTACATGAGCTGCTGTTTACATGTAAACATTAGCTCATGACGATACCTAAGTACGTGTGTCGCCTGGACAGTCACCGCTACCATCAGTTGACTGGACAATCTCTTTACATGAGCTGCTGTTTACATGTGAACATTAGCTCATGACGATACCTAAGTACCTGTGTCGCCTGGACAGTCACCGCTACCATCAGTTGAATAGACTTACCTGGTTCATAGAAGAGTTCATCAAGGTCCGCTCTTAGGTCCAACGTTAATAAATAGTTCACCATCGGCGGATCTGGTTCTGGAGGTTCAGCTGACATCACGAATCTGAAGACAAGAGTAAAAAAACGAAATAGTTTCCACTTCCCTCGGTAAATTTAATGCAGGAGACAGAATAACTTAAGCCTTAAAGGCACATAAGAGACTGTACAACTGGGAGAAGCCCAGTCACCAAACTACGCTGAAAATTTAGTATTGTAATTGCAATGGTGGGAATGTAAGTGTGGGAGAGTCGACCGGAGTGATACCACGGCGTCACAGAAAACCGGCGTGAAATAACCAAAGAGTTGTGTTTCGCCGTGTAAGTGAGGTTACCGGTGGCCCAATCTTTCCCTACCCCAATCCGTTCCCTTTCCCAAAATCTCCAAATCCCTAATCCCCAATGGTCGACAATGCACTCGTAACTCCTTCGTCGTTGCGGGTGTCCATTGGCGTCGCTGTCGCTGATTGCTTACCATCAGGTAATCCGTTGGCTCGTTTGCAGACTGATCACATAAAAAAAATGGTACCTATGTGTGAGCTGCTATAGTTGTTCCCAGTAATAGGTCCAAGTACAAGGTCCGTCCTTACAACTACACCTGATGAGACATTTAAATCAGATACTTCTTCAGGTAATTCGTGATTACAAAAACCTGTTCCTAGTACTCCTACAAGTTCAAATTTCAATATAGAAAGAAAGAAAGAAAGAAAGAAAGAAAGAAAGAAAGAAAAAGTATTTATTCGCGTCTGGGACGCATAAAAGACACAAAACGAACAAGATAATAAAACAAAGTTAAAAATAAAAATACATTATGCATGGTAAAAACAATATACAACTCGAGACTGTCTAAAGATGCTGTCCCTGAGGTTCATTTCTTTTTCGGATCCTTTGGTTAAACACTAGTGTAACACTGTTCTCACATAATGGAACTATCTAAATTATGTAACAATGCATTGTAAAAAGTGATTGAAAAAGAGTAACCATGGAGTTTCTTGCTCGTTCTTCTCCATAGGAATCTACACTTTGGAACGAGCAAATAGCTTCACTAGAGGACTAACGGACAGACTGACACATATTAAGTTAAACCTTATGATATCTTTTTTGCTTGACGTTCAAAAGTGCCTTTTGTGGTCTATTTGAAATAAAGAATTTGATTTGATTTGAACAAATATCACAAAAGTAGAGGGTAGGAGAAAAATATGGGTCCAAGCACGCGAAATGGCCCACGCTCAGCATAATGCAGCGACCCCGTTCGAGACGCGTTCGCGGCGCTGATTTTCAGCGTTGGCCGACACTAACGCATGACGCCAATCTGTGCAGAAACTTAAGCTAAGAAAATAAGTATTTAACTTATTTTCTACTGAAATGTGTTTTTATAATTGTTTGAATAGTATACTACTATAAAAAAAATATCTTACCTCTCCTGCTTCAAAAGTACATCGTTCCCCATAGAAGTAGCGCACAGTAACGGATATCCAGGTCTTTCACACCATCCGTCCCATGCTGCCCCTCCCAAACCGTCATCAGAGCCATCTCGCTCTAACGCTCGCCACAGATCCCTAGAAGGAAAGGGACAACCATCATTGAGTTAGCATCAGCAAAAATAAGGCTTACGAAAAATGCACAAGAATAAAATATCTTAAAAGCTGTCATGGCAGTCCTTTGCTGGAGCTTGGACTGATTCTACAAAAGAAAAGTGCCATATAATATAAGATTTTGGCAGGTTACGATTTTAAAGACCATCATTTAAAATGATCAGAATTTGAAAAGATTACAATAAAATTTAGAAAAATAACAATTTCAAAAGATCATCAGTTTAATTTTAATGATAATATTATAAATTTAATAATATTTCAAGTTAAAGAGACCACAATTAACAAGGCCATAAGGCCATAATGAAAAAAAAACACGATTTAAAAAGACCATAATTGAAAAACGGCATAATTAAAATACATTACAATTTAACAAAAAACATATCATCATCATTCATTCATTCATTCATACAATTTAACAAAAAACATAATTTAAAACAGTTACACACGTTTAGAAAAATACGAATAATAATAAAAATACTATTTAAAAATATTACAATTTAAAAAAATCACAATTAGAAAAAGACCATATAATCAAAAACGACCTTACCATTTAAAAAGACCTTAATTAAAACAGACCACAACTCAAAAAGACTACCATTAAAAAATATCAAGTTTATCAAAGAACACTGTGGTTCAGACTTATTCAAATACATAATATTGTTTCTTAGTCTGATCTTCCATGGTAGCAAATGTATTCTAAGAACTCTAGCGTTAGAATGCGGTATACCATCAGCTCAGGATGATCAGAACTCCTTACCTTGCATCGGCACTTGCAAAGCGATGGTCGCGCAACAATCGCGCGAGCGCGGCGCGACCCGCTGCCTCGCCCGCCGCTTCTATCGCCATACTCACTATAGCTGCACCCTGTTATAATATATTAAGGGCTGATTTTTCAATGGTTAGATAAAAGTTACCTGGGAAATAATTATGATGCTGTCGCGTCAGAATGTTTGTATAAGACAGTGACAGCAACAATTTTATTCCTCAGATAACATTTATCTGGCTATTGAAAAATCAACCATAAGTTAACATTTGATTTTCTTTTCATGGGTATTATAAGCACAAACTCCAAGTGTGGGAGAGCCATACTTCGGCACGAATGGGTCGGCTCGACCGGAGTGAAGTTGTAGAACCACCCGTGGTTGAAGAAAAGTAGCATGTGTGTGTTCAAGGTATCACGGTGTGTAGATACACACCAAAACTCAACCAAATTGATCCAGCCGTTTTCGCTTGAAAGAATAACTAACATAAATCCATACTTTAAAGTGTGGGAGAGCCATGCTTCGGCACGAATGGATCGGCTCGACCGAAGTGATACCACGGCCTCACAAAAAACCGGCGTGGAACAACCACAGCGTGGTTTCGCCGTGTGAATGAGGTTACCGGAGACTCAATCCATCCGCCTCCCCTACGCCTTCTCAATAATTAAAAAAAATCCATTATACTGTTCCCACTACACCCTAAGATTGACTGGCAGAAATTGGCATATGACATTAAGTCCACATAAGGTGGGCTCTTTGTTTATCATATGTGCTTTAAACTATAAATAAATGGGCAGACCACATTGGTCAAAGGACGGAAGAACAGACGTCCAGAAAAGTACTCGAATAGCCACCAAGGACCGGAAAACGTAGCGTGGGCAGGGTCTCGAGTCTGCTATTACAATAGTGTCAGAATAGTAAATCATTGGTTTCAAAATTGTTGATTTTGACAAGTTTGGTAATCTACTAACACAATAGCGTCATTATGACTTCCAATGCCACTTCATTGAAATAATTTTTTAGAACGGTAATCTCGTACATAATGACAAATGAATATTTGACATAATGCGGTAAATTAATAAAAAAATGTCGGTTCCTTTATTCAATGATTTACGTTTAGAATATTAATGTGCAGTGATTGTTTATAATTAGTTACAAGACATCTCGTACAATAATTCTATTACGACATCGCCGAACGCCAATGATCAGCCATTTTAACAAATTACGAACTTTTAGCAAAATGACAATGGAATCGTGTAGGAATGACAACACTTTGAAAATAATAGACTCGGGCCTCAGATCTCCTGCTAGGTGGACTGATGACATCGTCAGAGTCGCGGGGAGACAATGGATGCAGGTGGCGAGTTGTCGTTCGACGTGGAGGGCTAAGGGGGAGTCCTTTGCCCAGCAGTGGACGTCTTCCGGCTGATGATGATGATGATGATGTAGAAGACTCCGACACTCTTCGCGATTCTAGTAGGTGTTTATCTTACTAATCTTATATATAAAAATGGATCGCAAAATGTGTTGGTAAGCGCATAACTCAACAACGCCTGGACCAATTTTCCTAATTATTTTTTTGTTGCGTTTCTTATTGTCAGGAGAAGGTTCCTATCCAAAGAAAATATTAGAAAAGTAGAGGGGAAGATTAGAAAAAAGTTACCCTTTGATAGCATGATAGATGGGCCCGTGCGAAGCGGGGGCGGGCCGCTAGTCTTCTTATATATAAAAATGGATCGCAAAATGTGTTGGTAAGCGCATAACTCAACAACGCCTGGACCAATTTTGCTAATTCTTTTTTTGTTGTGTTTGTTATTGTCAGGAGAAGGTTCTTATCAAAGAAAATATTGGAAAAGTAGAGGGAAAAATTGGGAAAAAGTGCGAAGCGAAAGTGGAAGGGTGGCTAGTATTAAAAATTACGATGTTTATGGATGTTTGTTACTCAATTAAGCCAAAACGGCTCGACGGATTTGGATGAAATTTAGATACACTCCGGATACACTCCGGAATAGGACATAGACTATTTTTTATCAACATACCACGCGAGCAAAGCCGCGTGCGGTAGTAGGTAGAGAAAGCAAAATATTACCTTGTGTAAGGATAGTTCATCGGTAGCACTCTCGATGTCAGCTCTCTCGAGTCGAGGGGAGGCAACTGCTCGCACTGAATTACTGGAGTCCAATCTATAAACAACAAACATTATATAAAAGATGAGAGCCATGCTTCGGCACGGATGGGTCGGCTCAACCGGAGTGATACCACGGCCTCATAGAAAACCGGTGTGAAACAAAAATCTCTATCTCTATCTCTATCTCTATCTCTATCTCTATCTCTATCTCTATCTCTATCTCTATCTCTATCTCTATCTCTATCTCTATCTCTATCTCTATCTCTATCTCTATCTCTATCTCTATCTCTATCTCTATCTCTATCTCTATCTCTATCTCTATCTCTATCTCTATCTCTATCTCTATCTCTATCTCTATCTCTATCTCTATCTCTATCTCTATCTCTATCTCTATCTCTATCTCTATCTCTATCTCTATCTCTATCTCTATCTCTATCTCAATCTTTTGAACTCAACTGATGTAAAACAAAAACAACAGTAACAAACTGCTCATGAGTATAAGCCTAAAACTAGACGACTTATCAAACATCAAAATAAAATCATCTGAAAAACCACTTCGGAACTTACCTAAGCGCCGGTAGCACATGGTCCAAGAGCAACGCATCAGCAGGCCTCTGAGCGTCACTGTGAGGGGGGGCAGGGGCTTTCTCAGCCAGCACTGAAGTTAAGGCCTCTAGAAGCCACTGAGAGGACCACCAGCGTGGTGATACTGTGCCGCCGAACCACTAGGTATGATAAAAGTAGTTAATAGTTGAGATTCGTTTAATTTTTAAGAAGTTGGAAATCAAATGAGCCAACATTGATAATGTCGTGGGTGCCCGGAGGTTAAGGAGCCCGCTTCTCATGTATGAGGGTGTGGGTTCAAAACCTGGCAAGTACCAATGTGACTTTTTCCGAGTTATATGTACTTTCGATGATCATTTAGACACCACTGCCATACGGTGAATAATTTCTAATTTTAAGTTTGAAATCGCCAACCCGCATTGAGCAAGCGTGGTGATCAATGCTCTAACCTTCTCCGTATGAGAAGAGGCCATTGCTCAGCAGTGGGCACTTAAAGGTTAATGCTGATGATGAACATTGATGGTCGTGAGAGAGTCATGCTTCGGCACGAATGGATCGGCTAAACCGAAGAAAACCGGCTAAACCTTACAGAAAAAAACAGAAAACAGCTTCATTTTTCGCCGTGTGAGTAGGAAGCGGACGTTCAATCCTTCAACTCCCCCCAAACTCAAAATCTCTCTGCTGGCAAGGCACTCGTAACTTGAAATCTCTGGTGTTTCAAGTATCCATGGGTGGCACCGATTGCTTACCATCAGGTAATCCGAGCGCTCGCTTGGCGCCCTATCGCATAAAAAACTATACAAACTTCTTACCTGTTGAGCCAGTAACCTAGCTATGGTCTTGGTGTCAGATAGCGTGGCTGGTGCCAGGGTGATTAAACCCCAACCTTCCGAGTAAGGGTTGCTTCCTTCCACTACCACGATATCTGCAAAAATATTGGTATAAGGAATCAAAATAAGTAATTTAGGAATGAGGACACGGTAAAGCATAATGTGTTGGTATATGCTTGAGTTGGATATCGCTGTGTCTGCAGGGAAGTGACTGGTGGTGGCGACCTTAGTCAAGGCCATGGTTTGTAGCGAGAGGAACTAGGAAGTCGTCTCCTCTTTCTGCGAAGCAGTGATGCTCGCAAAGGAGAAGGCGGAGTGCGTGTGAAAACTATCCTCGATACCCGAATTCGGGCGTCAAGGATCTAGAGATGATCTCCGGCCACCGTAAACGCGGGTCTGCAGATGGCGAGCAGGTATAGTTTGTCGCCCGACCAGAACCAGACCCGAACGTATTGGGCCCTAACAGGGCCAATGCTTACCCAGGGTTGCGAGACAAAGAGAAGTAGTTTAAAATAAAGAATTTGACAGATTTTTCTTAATCCAGGTGTCATCACACGAATGCGAATCATAAAAGAACTTCACAAAAAGACTTCTTAATAATGAAATATCTGGCATAATTTTTATGTTTTTTGAGGGATGCAAATCATTAACGGAATGATCCCGCCCTGGATAAGTTGAGTGGGAATGTCAGTCTCTTACTGACTGAAATCCATCCTGTTACTTCTCCTGTTCCTTGCAGAGCTGCAGTACTTTCTTACGCTTGCTATTCTTCTCCGCAAGAATCAAGATGGCATAGTTCCAGACTTTATTGGGAAGATACAGTACTGCTTTCTTGAGACAGAAGTCAGGATTTCATTTTGGCTTTGTGCTTAATACGAGGAATAGATTCTAAGCCTTCTGCTAAATGCGAGGTGGGCGCATTGAGGCACCGCGGCCCAAAGCAGGAGAAGGAACGGGGGGTTTTTAGTCAGTAAGAGTCTGCCACGCCCTGCCACTCCGTCTTGGGTGGGAGAAGTCATTTGATGATTTTACCTCACCAGCCTTCTTCTGAAGTTGGAGGCCTCTGTATCGCCATCATAAAGAGCCTAAAGTAGGATAAAATTGGCTTATATTTCGAAAGAATAAAATATCTATACTTACCGAATTTGGGCAACGGGTATGAGGTATTCAGTTCAAATGAAAAGTGCTGGATGGTTTTTTGCACCCATTCTAGTAAAGGTCTGTAAAAAGACAAAAATGTACATTACTGCAGTGGTACTGGTGCAGTGTTTGGGCAAATGACTGCTACGCCACGTGTCGCAGGATCGTTTTCGGCACGGAAAACTCTTTGTGTAATCCACAAAATGTTTTTCGGGGTCTAGCTGGTGTGATGTGTTAAAAGTTGCCCTTGTAAAGTTAATGGTTTTTGACTAGTAGACCGTCTATTTACAGTATGATACAAATGGGGGGAGGCATATGATTCGGCACTTCTGGGCTGGTTCAATTAGAGTCCATGGGCAACGCCGATTGCCTTCCATAAGTGAAGCGTCTACTCATCTGACAAACTATAAACCCATTATAACTTACGACCATCTCTTTCTCTCTTTCTCTCTCTCTTTCTCCCACTCTCTCCCTCTCTCTCCCTCTCTTCCTCTCTATCCACCCTCCCCCCTTTTTCTTAATCTCTCTCCCTCTTTCTCACCCTCCCCACCTCTCTCTCTCCGTCTTTCCCTCTCCCAAAGTACCCCCTCTTTCTCCCTCTTTCCCTCTTTCTCCCCATATTTCGCTCTTTCTCCCTCTCTCTCCCTCTCTCCGTTTTCTCTACTTATTTCCCTCTTTCTCTCCCTCTCCCCACCCCTCTCTCACTCTCTTCCTATCCCTATCTCTTTCTCTCTCTCTCTCTCTCTCTTCCTCTCCCTCTCTCTAAAATTTTAACCAAATCGGTCCAGCCGTTTTCACGTGAAAGTATAACAAACATACATACATCCATACATTCTCATTAAATATAATTATGTTGAGTTAAGATATATTATAGGATATTATCAATCTAGACAGAACTCACCCAGACTCATCCAAAATGACTTGTTGATCGCTATACAAACTGATTTCTGGAGGCAAATCTTCTTCGGGCGGTTCCGACGTGGCTTCGGGTATCATCGTAGCAACTTCGGTAATGTTCGGAGTCGCTTCTGTTGGTAGTTCGGGAGCTGCTCGTCTTTGGAGACGACATACAGCCAGAGACATCATGTGAGGTGGCATTGGAGGGGTCACGCCAAATTCATCTTGAAGCTGTAAGGTGAGACAGGATTTTTTTATCTGCTTGCGATCCGCAGTGCCGGCGTAAGGGCCACTGACACCCCGAGCGAAAATAATGTGGCGCCCACTTACGGAAAGCAATATCAATAATGTTAAATTTTTGATCTGATCCCTAATAGTACGCCCCTTTATCACATTTACAGTTCACTCATCAACATTCTATTATGATGTTAATTTTTAATATATTTCAGTAGGTATGTATCACTATTTATCACACTACAAAACTGTTCTTTGCGTCCGTCACGTCACAACCTCAGGTTCAGTTGAAAACCAGCGTCAGGCACTAGTTGTCTGGCATACATTCTGAACTGAACCTTTTTTGGCGCAGCTGTGAGGCACACAATAATTGTATTTTCATTTTATTTTTAACTATTTTAGGTACCTTTTTGTTTCATTTTATTCTATTTTTAATTTATTTTATTTTGAATCTTCTATTTTTTGCTTTATGATTGTGATTTTCGTGTGCCCTACACTGTGGCAAATAAAATTTATTTTCTTTCTTTCTTTCGTTCTAAAAAAAAAACCTAATAAAAACTATGCATAATTGCATATGCACAGAGCTTAGAGTACAGTTCTGAGGGTGTTTGCACTAGGAGAGGCAAGAGACTCCAACTTCAGACCTTGGCGCCCCCCAGAATTTATCGCCCTGGGCCATCGCCCCATAATTCTTTTATTTTAGAATGATTAAAAGTAATATAATTAATTAGCTTTAAAAAAAATATAACCGCATTACTTATATTAATATAATTTTCGAAAAAGACTGTATAAATATGTATAATAGAAGAAATAAATATAATTACAATAGAGATTAACAGTATTATATATAAATATAATAGTGTAAGAAAGCCAAATAATTAATATAAATTAAAAAAAGACATTATATAAAGGAAGCAATTAATAGATATAAGTTATGGAATGAAATAGTATTATATATGTGATGATATATGCGATGTGATAGTATTATATACATAATAATAGGTTAATTGAAATTAATAACAAAGTCAATAGAATATAAGTAATTCTCGTTTAATATAATTTTCGTATGCCCACCGGCACAATGTAGCGAACTTCCTGTAAATCTAACACCTTTTGTACTGTACACCTACATTGACGAATAAAAAGATTTTGATTTTGATTTTGAACGCCGGCACTGGCGATCCGCCCAGATTTCGCGCGTGTGCTGATACTTTTCTGCACTATTTAATGACACAGAAAACCGCCGTGTGCGTGTTATGTGGGCCTCATTAACAAGCACACGGCGGTTTTCTGTGTAACCCTTCCCCTCCCCAATCCCTAAATCTCCAAAACCCTAACTCCCAAAAATTCAGCAAGGCGTATCTTCTCCGTCGCGGCCGTCCATGAGCGGCTTTGATTGCTTACCATCAGGTAATCTATACTAATATTACAAAGAGGTAAAATTGTAAAGTTTGTATGTAGGGGGTAATATTAATTTGGAACCGCCGGTTGGATTTCCTAAATTCTTTCACTGATAGATAGCTACAAGGTTCCTGATAGCTGTAGGCTATAAATCATCACGCTACGATCAAATGGAGCCGAGCAGCGGGTGAAACCGCGAGATTAGCTAGTTGGGTTATACAAGCGTGGAAGAGCTATTCTTCGGCAAAACAGTGACACCACAGCTTTATAGTCCGCTTATAAAAACAAAGGTAAACTCACCAGTCGATGTCCCAAATAGAAACCAGCTTCCTCGGTGGCCACAATCGGCATATTCGTCAAAGATACGTGGAACCTGCAACCATTTTCGAATTATAAAAATTACTCTTATATTTTTTTTTATGTAATATGTCGGCAAACGAGCATACGGATTACCTGATGGTAAGCAATCAGTGCCGCCCATGGACACCCGCAACGGAGGAATTACGAGTGCGTTGCCGAACTTTTAGGGATTAGGGTTTTGAAGATTTCGGGATTGGGAGGGATCAGGGGAGGGGAAGGATTGGGCCTCCGGTAACCTCACTCACACGGCGAAACACAACGCTGTGGTTGTTTCACGCCGGTTAGGTAATGCGACTGCTCGTTTGCCGATCTATAAGACAAAAAAGACGCAAGATATCCACTGCAAGGAAAAGCTGAAAAAAAAGGATTCTGCTTACCTGTCTCTGACGATGGTTATCTTAAAAGTAGCCCTGAAGTGCGGTTCATCCAGACAGGGGAATGCAGAGCGAGCGTGGGTCAGCCAGAATCTAGATACAGCGCAGCGACTGTGAAATTTTATGAAGACATTGTAAATTTAAATAATATATCCATTCCTACCCTATGACTCAAAAATACTATGACGTTATATTTGGAGATTCATACAAAAAAAATAATTGTTTTTGACATTTGGATAAAAGAAAAACACACGTTTGAAGCCTTTGCTGTTGCGGCTACGGTATTTGCTTACCATCAGACCAACTATAAGCTATTCTACCCACGTCCTAATTAATATACTTAACCAGCTACTCTCGCGCGGTTTCACCCGCTGTTCGGCTCCATTTACTCTTAGCGTGATGTTTTATATCCTATAGCACTCAGGAACATTGAAGCTATCTATCAGTGAAAGAATTTTGGCAATCCGACCAGCGGTTCCGAAGATTACCCCCTACATACAAACTTACAAATACCTCTTTATAATATTAGTATAAGCATAGATAACTTACTGTCTATGAGTCCCAGTCAAGAAGAATCCTCGTTGTTTGTCACTTCTCTCCAATTTCGTGATGAAACGGAGACTCAGGGTGTAGTTGAACTTCCGACGGAGTTTCTCCTGTAAGAAAAACATGAAAATACTGAACAACTGTAATATTGTGATGCACACTAGAAAATCATGTATTGTGATAAGTAATTCGTTTTTATTTATTTTTAGCTTCCACCCGTGGTTGTTCAGCACGTCGATTCTATAAAATTTGTTTGATTTTGAATCGTGTTCGAGTGCGAAGTGAGTGTCGAAGTGAATGGTAAATTAAATTTTAGAATGCCACTTTTAACGTCATCTCATACTTTATCTTTCAAAATGATGCTGTCAATTTAGTTCAACTCGCAAGTGTAGCGCTAGTGTACTACTACTCACGGCGGATTCAGATTCGAAGTTTAGAATGAAGTCTTACAGAATCACACTGCAGGGTATCACGGTGTGTAGATACATACCAAATCTCAACCAAATTGATCCAGCCGTTTTTGCTTGAAGGAATAACTAACATAAATCCATACTTGTAAGTGTGGGAAAGTCATGCTTCGGCACGAATGGGTCGGCTCGACCGGAGTGTCACAACGTCCTTACAGAAAACCGGCATGATCACAGCATTGTGTTTCATCGTGTGAATGTGGTTACCGGAGGCCCAATCTCCGTCCGTCCCCTATCCCTTCCCAATCCTTAAAAATTCGCAACCCTTATCCCCAAAAGACTGGCAACGCACCCTTAACTCCTTTGGTGTTGCGGTAGTCCATGGGCGGCGCCGATTGCTTACCATCAGGTAATCCGTCTGCTCGTTTGCAGACTTAATCCATAAAGAGTAACCATGGAGTTTCTTGCTCGTTCTTCTCCATCGGAATCTACACTTTGGAACGAGCAAATAGCTTTACTAGAGGACAGACGGACAGACCGAAGCGCATAAATTTAAATCTCATAAAATATATTTTCTTTTTCTTTTATTTGCTTGACGTTCAAAAGTGCCCACTGTGGCCTGATTGATTTTAACTTTGACTTTAAAAAAGTAGCCCGTCAGGATCATCACCTCGCCTGTGAGGACGATCCTCCTCTTCCTATCTTAGGAAAGTTTTCCTTACCTTAAATTCAATGTAACTCTGGTCTGCTTGAGGGTACTCCAATGTCTTCGCGACTTTAGGTCCGAGGGAGCCTCCGGATTTGAAGAGAGCTCTTTCTGTAACATTCATGTCTCGAACGTTGAGCACGACGAAGGTGGTGTCCCGGTCCACCTTGAAGTCTATTGACACTTCACCTGGAAGAGAGAAGGAGATATGATCATAATCTAAATGGAGTTCGGAGCTGTTTTAAGTTGTGATTTAATTTCGTGGTGGCCCGTAGGTATATAGGTGCCCCAGGTAAGGCGAGAGAGAGTGTCAGACTCTTAGGGCCTGGCCACAGCTTCTAGCGGTGCGACGCACGCGCGGTGCGATGGGCGACGCGATTTGCGTTGGTATGCCACAGCTCGACTAGTTGCGACCGCGGCGGCGTCAGCAGTGGACGTACTCAGTATTATTTATAATGGCCCTATCAAAAGTGGCACGATATTGTCTTGAGACTAATGCGTTTTAGCTCAAGATATCATTAACTCTAAAATTGGAACGCACCCAGTTAATGAAAAAAGGAAAAACCTTGGCGAATTTCACACGCTTTATCACGAATATAGGAATTACCCAGAAAAATTTTTTGAATATACGAGGACAAGCATATAAACCTTCGATCTGTTCTTTTATTTCATCCCACAACTTTTTGATTATATTTCTGAATTTATGTTGAGGATATTTCGACATCCACAATTTTATTGTTATTTAATTATATTATTCAATATTCAATATCTCACTAATAAGTTTTTCGGTATCCATTTGATGCGGAGCGAAATTTTCAAAACGATTTATTCAGTTCGCGCGAACACAAATACGTCCCCTCGCTGCCACTGCATACGCCGCTCTGGCTGTGGCCGCCTCGATACTCCCGAGTGCATTTGTTTCACTCGCACACCGCGCCGCCCGTCGCCGCTGCATGCCGCGCGACGCTCTCCGCGCCGCAGGTCGCTCGGCAATTCGCGTCGCCGTTAGCTGTGGCATACTTCATACGTTGTCTACCATTTGTTTTCCCCGCTCACCTTGTCGCGCCGCAATTCGCGCCGCGCTTGGCTGTGGCCAGGGGTTACTGACTAAAAACCCCCGTTTCTTTCCTTCTCCTGTTTACGGCCGAGGCCGGGATGCCACATTGCGCTTACCCCGCAACCCCGGCCGAACATCGGCCCTATAGGGCCCCGTCTGTGGTGGTCTATTGGCTCTTTGAGGCGCGCGCGGAACGCTACGCGCCGTACGCTCGGGTCTGGTTCTGGTCGGGCGGCGAGCTACCCTTACTCGCCGTCCGCAGACCCGCGCTCTAAGTGGTGATAGGTTGGTAGAACATTAAGGTTAATAAAAAACCCACCTCTCAATTCTCCAGTGGTCAAGTTTGGATGTAACCACAGACTATAGTGCTTCGGTATGACGAAAGTCGGCAGTCGAGCGCCGCGCCATGGGAACACCGCTCCGTTGCTTGCTATCCGTTCCCTGGGGACAATTTATTGATTACATAAGTGTGGGAGAGCCATGCTTCGGCACGAATGGGTCGGCTCGACTGGAGTGTCCACGGCCTCATATAAAACCGGTGTGAAACAATCATGCCGTTGTGCTTGTGTTTCGCCGTTATATGGTTGACGGCGGCTCAATCCTTTCCCTCCTCCAATCTATAAATCTCAAAAATCACACGCTACGAGTGCGTGTGATTTTAAAGACTCCTCTGGTGTTGCATGTCTTCATGGTCGACGCCTTTTGTCTGGAAATACATCTAGTTGGATGCCAACTTATCACAACAAAAAATATTAGATGGAAAAGTAGCACAAGTGAAAGACGAAGGGTCAAAGTTGAAGGGAGTCGGAGGACACTAATCGTTTTCAGAAAGCCGATCTGGAGTCCAGGGACCCTCTCAATTAACATCAAAACATAAAATGCATTTTTTTATTGAAAATAACAACTTACTCACGAGAATGAACTGAGAAATGATTTACCTGTTTCAATACGGTAGTTTCCAACAAGTCAAATTCATACTTACTATACTTTTAAATCCAAACGTTAAAAACTATACTTTTCCATGAAATTTGTATGAAAAACTGAGTTCTTGATAAAAATCTAAAACATAGTGTATCAATCGATCGATGAATAAAAGTATAGTTATTTTTCAATATTTTATTGTATTGAAACGTCGAATTAATTTAATATTGACCTAGGAAACTACTAAATTTTCTGCCCGACTTTGCTGCAACCCGCACGCAGCTCATGAATTTTCGAATTTTCACAAAGTTCCGTTGTAATTTGAAACTAGTAGAGCTTTTCTCTGTTTATTTATGCAAGTAAGTTATTTTTTTTTATTAAGTTAATATGTTTCACTATAGTTACCAAGTATTCAAACAATTTGATTTTCTCTATGATTTTTTGGTGGCCAACAAAATGGCTACTTACTTGTTAGCAGCAGCAAGACTAGCTTCAGAATCCGTAGGGGGCTGTCCAGGTATCAACGTAACGTCCGTCGCACACGGACAGTCTGCAGACAAATGAGAAACATATGCAGTGATAATTATTATGGTCGAGCAAGTCCCTGTTGGGCGCCAATAGGCATGATTACAAAGTCAGATTTACGTTTTTTTTTTGTTAATCGAGATATTTCATTTTTATTTCACGAAGTGGTTTACGCAGTCTTTAGACAAATGACAAACAAATGCATTGATGATGACTGTGGAGCAAATCCCTGTTTGGCGCCAATAGACATGATTAAAAAGTCAGGTTCACGTTTTTTTTTTGTTATCAAATAAGTTTTTTCAATATTCATTTTTACTTGAGTATATGTTATTTTAAATTTATAGAAACAATCAACTAGGTTATTTTAAAAATGGAATGCAAAAAACAATATTTACTAGAATGCGTTGAACAATAATCAACTTCATGGGCATTGCTAAAAATATTATCACAGTGAGTCCTATTTGAGCGCCAAAATAACTTAGAAGAAGAATAACAAAGTATGGCAAGACATCCTCTTATCAAAGAGGTCTATAGTCCAACAGTAGTTATCAAAGTGTGGGAGAGCCATGCTTCGGCACGAATGGGTCGGCTCGACCGGAGTGATACCACGACCTCACAGAAAACCGGCGTGAAACAACCACAGCGTTGTGTTTCGCCGTGTGAGTGAGGTTACCGGAGACCCAAACCTTCTCCTTCCCAATCCCTCCCCAGTTCCTAAATCTCCAAATCCCTAATCCCTAAAAGGTCGGCAATGCACTCGTAACTCCTCCGTTGCGGGTGTCCATGGGCGGCACTGATTGCTTACCATCAGGTAATCCGTCTGCTAGTTTGCCGACCAATTACATAAAAAAAATCAAAGTGACCATTACAACAAAATAGTCCCATTTGGGCGCCAATAAATTTTCAAAACTTACCAGATTGCGGTGAAGCGTACACAATGATCAGAGCCGTCGCGAACATTGCAGAGAATAGGACCACAGTGAGGCAGAGAGCTCTTCGTTGAGAGCATACTGCCACTGGTGCGTCGCGAAGTTCACGAGCTTCGCGAGCCTTGTCCGTGTCTGAAAGTAGAAGAGAGAAGATTGAAAATAGAAGAGAGAAGATTGATAATAGAAGAGAGGAGATTGACAATTTGTTTGTTGGATTTAATGTTTAGTATTTTCACATTGGTCACGTGCCTTTAAGATTTTAAGAAGAAATAGGAAGGTCTTGATGACGGTTAGCCATAATATTTTAGACAGTAAAAGTCTGACGGATCGCCTGACGGTTTTTTTGCGACCGCAAGCGTTGCTTTAGAGCAAGGGTAACTCGCGTGTCCACAATCAATGACCTCGTGGCTTTGGTCTTTCTATCCAGGGCAAGCGAAGTCAGTTAGTGATGTTCCCAGCTCAAAAACATATAGCCGCAAAGTCATATAGTTAATTATATTATGATGACTAACGGTCCGCTCCCGCTTCGCACGGGTCCAACTATCTCGCTATCAAAGAGTCACTTTTTCCTAATCTTCCCCTCTACTTTTCTAATATTTTCTTTGATAAGAACCTTCTCCTGACAATAACAAACATAACAAAAAAAGAATTAGCAAAATTGGTCCAGGCGTTGTTGAATTACGCGTTTACCAACAAATTTTGCGATCCATTTTTATTATATAAAGATTTGCCACAATTCCATAACAAAAATCTCCAAACGAATGGCTGTAACAAGCATCGCAATGTAGATGCTCCTAAGTAGATCAAATTAAAGGACATAGTGCCCCTTAAAAAAATCACCGCAAAGTCTTATATGATGATTTTCTACATTTCCATAACAAAAATCGCCAAATGAATGGCTCTAACAAACACCGCACTGTGGATGCTCCGAAATTGTTCAACTTAAAGGACCCCGGGCCCTCAAAAAGGTAGACTAGTGACCATTCTGAAATGTTTTTAGAAAGATAAAAATCCCTCAGTCTGTTGTCCAAAAGGTAAGCGTCTCATATCAAGTTTTTCCTCCTTCCAAAAACGGTTCCATCAAACTTTTTGTAGATTTATAAACTTACCCGCCAAAAACGCGACATCATCCAAATCCTGGTCGACCATGTTACGCCAGGCAGCTGCTAAAACAAAACCATTTTTTATGTTGCATTTCTTAATTTGAACACACACAAATGATATGGGTAAAATTGCATTTAAGTACAAATATTCATGCGTTATTTTTGCACCATTTCTGCTGTAGCCAATGAAGGCGTTACTGTGGTTGACTAATAATTTGCTGAAGTCAAGTTTCTAGTCAGCTGTGTGATTGTGTAAGACTTCATTCTAAACTTCGAATCAGAATCCGCTGTGAGTAGTAGTACACTAGCGCTACACTTGCGAGTTGAACTAATTTGACAGTAACATTTTGATAGATAAAGTATGAGATGACGTTAAAAGTGGCATTCTAAAATTAATTTCTCCGTCACTTCACACTCGAACAAGATTCAAAATCAAAGAAATTTTATAGAATCAAAAAAAAAGAAAATAAAAAAAGAAAAACATTATCATTTACTAGCCCCGAAGATCGAACTAGAGCCACATGAGACATGTGATCAACAACTATTTTTGGATTGACAGTTTTGGAGTGTATGGCCTTAAGAAAACAAAGTGTTTTATTTTATATTACAATACTCGCATAGTCTTATTTTGGGCGATCATGTACTATTTTTGCCTATTGTTTTATACTCAAACTAGTTACCACCAGATTCACCCGCTTCTCTGCTGCTATTGATCGTATCGTCGGCCACAAAACACCATACCGTCTTATAGCCTATATTATACTTCCTCAATCATAGTTCTATTCAACACCTAAAGAAATTGTTAAATTCGAATCAGTTGTTCCGGAGATTATAGCTCACAAATAAACAAGATCTTTAGCTTCATAATAAAACTAACTGATACTACATTTCTCCACTATTTAATGGATGTTATTATACATACTTATAATACTCACATCAGTCACTCTATCTTTTAAAAAACCGCATCAAAATTCGCTGTTTTAAAGATTTAAGCGTTCATAGGGATATAGGGACAGAGAAAGCGACTTTATTTTATACTAAGTATGCAGTGATTTAACAGAAGAAAAATCACTGGTAAGGAACAAAACCAATTGAAAAATTGTCAAGAAAAAGTCTCCATAATGATGTTACCCTTAGCAGATCCGTTTCTGTCGGCCTTGTATTTGCCGATTGGCTCCATTTGTATGCCGTCCATTTCACGCTGACCGCGGCATGCCGACGATCACCTGCACAGAAAAATATCATCATCATCATCATCGTCATCATCAACTCCGACCGTCTGCTATAAAAGACTGCTCCAAGAAACGAAAATGTCTGGTCTAGGGAGCAAATTGAAAACCAGTATCTGTTGGGTTCTCACTGATCCCAACAGATAATAAAATGAGCAGTTGTCTTGTCATGTTCGTTTAAATATTTTTTAGTTGTTTAAGGAGGTACTTTTGGAATGCAGTTCTTTATCGCGCGTTGCGAAAAAAATTGAGACAAAAAAGTTGTAAATACACTTTTTGTTATCTCTCTCTCTTTCTCTCTCTCTTACACACACACTCGCATTCGCACTCGCACTCAAACTCAAGCTTACACACTTACATTCACATTCAAATTCAAATTCCATTTTAGAGTCACCTTCACCTTCACCTTCACCTTCACCTTCACCTTCACCTTCACCTTCACATTCACTTCATATTCACCTTCACATTCACTTCACCTTCAATTTCACATTCACTTCACCTTCACACTCACATTCACGTTCACATTCACAGTCACATTCTCGCTCACTCTCACTACCACTCTCACTCTCTCTTTCGCCCTCGCTCTCACTCTCACTATCGATTTCACTCTCACTCTCACTCTCACTAACACTAACTTTCACTCTCACTCTCACTCACTTTCACTGTTACTTTCACTACCACTCTCACCTTCACTTTCACCCTCACCTTTACATTCGCCTTCACCTTCACATTCACCTTCGCCTTCACCTTCACCTTCACCTACACCTTCACCTTCACATTCACTTTCACATTCACATTCACATTTTAACCTTCACAATCACTTCACATTCACATTCACTTCACCTTCACCTTCACATTCACTTCACCTTCACCTTCACATTCACTTCACATTCACATTCACTTCACATTCACTTCACATTCTCATTCACTTCACCTTCACATTCACTTCACCTTCACATTCACTTCTCCTTCACCTTCACATTCACATTAACCTTCACATTCACCTTCACATTGACATTCAGTCTCAAACTTCCACTCTCTCTTTCACTTTCACTTGCACAATCAAACTCACTCTCACATTCACATTCACACGCTTTCTCACTCTTACTTACATTTTCACTCTCACCTCAGTGACTGACAACCGGTCCGGCCATTCCGTTTCACATCATATCGCCAAGCCGGGGTTGCAGATGAAGCGCAGTAATGTAACGTGCCTATAAGTGCCCACTGCTGAGCAAAGGCCTCTTCTCACACGGAGAAGGTTCGAGCATTAACCACCACGCTCGCTCAAGGCGGATTGGCGATTTGAAACTTCTAATCAGAAATTATAAGTTCATGTTTCCCTGGCGGTCCCGGCTCTAAGCAGGAGAAGGAACGGGGTGGATTTAGTCAGTAAGGACCTGACACGCAGTCTCGCCTCACCCAAGGCGGGAGAAGTCGTTTAGCCGTCGTAGCAGTTTTAACGTTCGTTCGTTTGCTCGTTCTTCACCATCGGAATCTACACTTTGGAACGAGCAAATAGCTTCACTAAGAGGACTGATCGACAGACTGACACTATATCTTTAAAATTTTGTTTGACGTTCAAAAGTGCCTGTAAAGGTCTAATTGGAATAAATGATTTTGACTTTTGACTTTTTAACCATAGAAAGTATTTTATAGCTTGATCCAAATATCTAAAACTAGCTACTCTCGCGCGGTTTCACTCGCTGCTCAGCTCCATTTGATTCTAGCGTGATATTTTATAGCCTATAGCACTCAGAAACATTGTAGCTATCTATCAGTGAAAGAATTTTGGCAATCCGACCAGCGGTTCCAAAGATTACCCCCTACATACAAACTTACAAACATACTTGACCTCTTTATAATATTATAGTATATAGTATAATATAGAGTATAGTATAGATAATGAGTGTGGGAGAGCCATGCTTTGGCACGAATGGGTCGGCTCGACCGGAGTGATACCACGGCCTCACAGAATACCGGCGTGAAACAATCCACAGTGTTGTGTTTCGCCGTGTGAGTGAGGTTACCGGAGGCCCAATCCTTCCCCTAAATCTCTAATCAAAAAAAAACATTGACCATATTAAAACATGGAAAGTATGTAATTATAATATCTGTTCATCTAGAAAAGAAAGAAAGAAAGAAAGAAAATAAATTTATTTTGCCACAGTGTAGGGCACACGAAAATCACAATCATAAAGCAAACAATAGAAGATTCAAAATAAAAAAAAAAAACAAATTAAAAATAGAATAAAAAGAAACAAAAAGGTACCTAAAATAACCAAAAATTAATAAAAAAATAAAGTGTGGTGTGCCTCACAGCTGCGCCAAAAAAGGTTCAGTTCAGCATGTATGCCAGACAACTAGTGCCTGACGCTGGTTTTCAACTGAACCTGAGGTTGTGACGTGACGGACGCAAAGAACAGTTTTTGTAGTGTGATAGATAGTGATACGTACCTACTGAAATATATTAAAAATTATCATCATAATAGAATGTTGATTAGAGAACTGTAAATGTGATAAATAGGCGTACTAAGATAATGTATTCGCGTGTAGTGTATGAAGTGTGATGTAAATAAATAAATAAATAAAAATAAGAAATAAACAGCAAAACGATATAATAGCAGGAAAAATTGAACATATATAGGTAAAATCTATGAACTTCATAAGGATCAAACCTTAAAAAAAACATTAAGATATTTTTTTAAACAAACGCACATTTTAAAACCACTATAGAACTTTAAAAAATAACACTATAAAACACTACCAACACAACTTTGAATCCTTCCTCATAAATCATAGAGTTCAATTTAGTTCATTTTCTCATCCTCATCCCCCTAAAGATCCAACCAACCCCTTGTTATTATTTGCAACAGGAAATGACGTGTGCAAGCTGCAAACTAAAACCACAGACTATACAGCGTGTTGTTAGGACTATAATGCCAGAATTTTCCGCAAGGATCGCTCGTGAGAAATTAAGATCTCTTGTCTTCGAGAGATAATCTCCGGCCACCGTAAGCGCGGGTCTGCGGACGGCGAGTAAGGGTAGATCGCCGCCCGACCAGAACCAGACCCGAGCGTACGGCGCGTAGAGTTCCGCGCGCGCCTCAAAGAGCCAATAGACCACCACAGACGGGGCCCCATAGGGCTGATGTTCAGAGGCACCGCGACCTCGGCCCAGAGCAGGAGAAGGAACAGGGGGGTTTTTAGTCAGTAAGAGTCTGACACATGGGCAGGAGAAGACAATTGATGATTTTCGCCTCACAAAAAAAAAATCTCTTGTCTTATTCAAAATTAACTTCCATTTAGCACGCGTATAAAAAAAAATATCTCAGGTTTTTAAAATCTATATCAATACTCATCTATACAGGGTGTAAGGGACAGCCTTCCGCAAACTGATAGGGTGGATTCAGTATATCGTCTTAAGTTGACCGGTACATGAAATTATTTCAGGAACGTAATGGGAATCCAATTAAACCGATTTGTTTCATTACCTTACACGCAATGTATCGCTACCACCGCAAACGCACGCAGCGAACGGCAGCGCTTTTAGTATTATTACTTTACACTATGGGCAGCGCCGCGACCTTACGTTCAGACAAACGGTCGCGCTCGCACCCCGTTTTAATAACAATAAATTATTATTTAAAAGATAGCCGCATTACTTACAAAAGACAATGTAATAATCGCGCTCGCGCCACGTTTTAATAACAATAAATTATTATTTAAAAGATAGCTGCATTACTTACAAAAAAAATCTAACAATCATAACATGGTAACTGATAAATGATAAAAAAGAAAAATGCGTAGGTACCTTAGAATCGCTCCGGTTTCCGGCTCTGGAAAGCATTTGTGATGCGGTCTCGCATTTCGTACTCACTTGCACACGCACTCACAAACACTTTTTCTTTTACGTAACCCCACAAAAAGGGGTCCAAATGGGTTAGGTCTGGGGATCGTGCTGGCCACGGTTGCGGTCCAAACCTACCTAAACTACGTTTAAATAGGAAAGCACTGGTAAGTGGTAGCGTCTCGTTACGTTAGCGAACCAATTCCAAAATCCACGTAGGTATTGATCTTCCGGCGCCTTTTTGTCTGGGAACAATGGGCTGGTTTTCTAGCTAGCGTTGATAGTCACCAGTAATTATCCTGGAGTCTGATGGATGGCGACGGTCAGGATACCTACACTACTACAACACATTATCATCTCCCCATAATCACGCGCGCTAAACGTACCTAGGTAGTAATTTCGCACAATTTCTACAACAAAACTTCACTACACTTCACACACTACATAACTAATAAAACTTAACAACACTACTTATAACAAAACTTTTAAGCCGAATGCGCGAGCGATCCGTACCGATACACGCTCGCGGTACACAAACAATAACATCGCAGCAAGGCACAATGGCGACTGCATGTGATGAGACACACACAGACATAAATCTGTTGTTGCCAATTACACGAAAATTACAAAATTTCGGGGTAAAAACTAAAAAAATATGCATGGTCGTAATTTATCATTCTATTATTTTTTGTAGAGAAATGAATTGATTAAATCAATTTAATTCTAATTTCATTGTTTAGTTAATTTAGAATAATAAAAGTGCAGTGTGATAGAAAGCTGTGCTTCCATTCCAGGGAGATTGTGTTTAATTTCTGGCTCGACTATCAATTCATGGCTATTGTGAAGCCATGTAAAAATCTGTAAGTAGTTTAAAAACTAGCCAGTAATCGCTTAAAAAGAACAATCAATTAATAAATTAGGTAGTATTTGTAAATGCTTTAAAATTAAAACTAGACTAATCTTTATTTATTTCTTATTCAATTTATGTGCGCGACAAGATTTTCATTAATTGATTAATGAAAATCTCATCAACGTAATTATGAATGCAAAGGAGTTCTCAAGTTTTAGATAAATTTCGCTAGTTCTAACATTTTCGTTTACTACCTGAGGTAACAAAAGTTAAAAATTGGCAACACTGGTTCAATCGGGCAAACATTGTGCAAAGAATCGGGGAGACGGGGAGACGCGGAGGCGGGGCGATAGAAAGGGACGCAGCTATTCTGTACGTTGGACGGGATCGTAGGTATTATACCTACGGCGCGCGGCGCGGCGATCGGCGCGGTGGGGCGCCGAGCCGCTGCGCCGTGACCGCGGTGCGGTGAGTTCAAACGACTCGCGCTAGGTAGAAATTGAACAGCTGATTTCATGCGTAGTTCTTTAGAGAATTCACACAACCATTGCGTATTTTTTTGTTTTAGCTGTGTTATTTACATTAATGTTATTCTTCATACATAGAATGTAATTATTCATTGAAATAGAGGTTTAGGAACTGAAAAAACGAAAAAAAAATTGAAAATTTTCCTGAAAGAATTTTCACTGGAATATGATTCAGAATAAGGAGCTGAATGCACCCTGTTAATTTGTGGAGGGCTGTCCCTTACACCCTGTATCTATACCTACTAATATTATAAATGCAAAAGTATCTATCTGTCAGTCTTTTCTTCACGCCTAAACTATTGAACCTATTTGTGTGAAACATGGTACAGACAAGTTTGAAACTCGAGAAAGGACATAGGATAGTATTTATACCTAAAATCTGCAGGAAGTCACTATTCCAAGGCCCAAAACGAGCGCAATTATTTTGGGAGAAAGTTAAAAATGCTAAACCTCATAAAATGCAAAAAGTTTGCAAGTAAACCGAGTGTCTAGCATTCCTATCACACCTAACAAACGACCTGGTGACCTTGAAGACCTGAACTGATATCCCAAATGCCTGAAATCCCACTCTCGACTGATATATTAACAAACCAAAAAAACGCATTAGAATCGAACCATCCGTTTGAGAGCTAAGATGCCACAGACAGACACATTCATACACAGACACGTCAAACTTAAAATATCCCGTAGTTTTTGCGTCGGAGGTCTTAAATAACATCACTTGAAAGCGATAGCTCGACTAAAATACGTAAATTAAGAACAATTTATAGCCTATAGCACTCAGGAACATTGTAGCTGTCCATCAGTGAAAAACATTGGAAATCCGACTAGCAGTTCCTAGGATTACCCCTTACATAAAAACTTATAAATTTTACCGGGAGCGGATATTTGATGATTTTCCCTTCACAAAAAATAGCATACTAATGGGATATGTAAGTAGAAATAACACAATACGCCATCTAGTGGAAAAATTTTACAAAAAAAAAAAAACATTACTCCCGTTTTCATAACATCCTGTAGAGCGTAGCGTAGGGATGTAATTACTCGATTATTTACGACTCTTGGGTACCATAGTGCACTTTCGTGACGCTTTGAACTTTTTTCACCGGCGCCGGCTGAATGCGTTTTCGCCTTCGACACTTGTTTTTGTTTTAAAAGTGCATTTTGCTAGAATAATTGCGCGGCTTTTTTTTCGTTTCTTTTCTTTTTACGTTGCGAGTTTGTTTTGTTTTTTAAGTCGTGCGTTGATGGCGTAAAATACTTTTATGGCAACCGCTATCCGCCCAAGGTTTTTCTTTATGTGGAGAAAATCATCAAAGGACAATGTCCAAATTGGCCGTGTGCAATAAAGAGAATCTGAATACACGATAATTAATGGTCTACTTTTTTATTTAAGTTGCCAACATTTTTTAAAACTCATCTATTGGCCCTTTAACGGAACGTTACGCACCGTACCTACGCTCGAATTCCGGTCGGCTGGCAAACTATCATCGTAAAAGCTGACTAAGGGATTGCTATTGGTCCTGTTCAGCCAGTACCAAGGTGCAAGAGAAAGAACAAGGTGGTTTTTAACACCCGACGCAAAAAGAGGGGTGTCTAACCCACGACGCAAAAAGAGGGGTGTTATAAGTTTGACGTGTCTGTCTGTCTGTCTGTGGCATCCTAGAGCCTGAACGGGTGAAGCGATCTCAATTTAGTTTTTTTTTTAATTAAAAGTGACTTACGTGCGAGTGTTCTTACACATATTTCACGAGAATCGGTTGAGCCGTTTAGAAGTAGAGGGGGGGGGGGGGTAAGTGGGGAAGGGTAACCGAAAGTCTGCAAATATACTCGAGTGGGGTGTCAAATGAAACCGCACTGAAAGGGAATGTTGATGATTTAACCGAGAAAAAATGATATAAAATACCGATAAAAAGATTAAAATAAAAAAAAAGATTTTTAAATGAATATTAGATATCTCGTCGGGGGTTTTTTAAATTTTAAATTTAGAATTTATTAATATTTTTATGGAACATCTGTTCTAATTATTAGTCAGTAAGAGTCTGAAACTCATTGTCGCCTCACCCAGGGCTGGACAAATAATTGTGTAGATGTTGGACAAATGATTGTGTGTGTGTAGATGTTCCCAAAAGTTCCCATCACCTAATACTTTGTTCTTACTTACTTATCACTTCAGTGAATTGAAAGCGAAGTTGCCAGGTGTAATAAATCAGTTAAATGCACAGATTAAAAATTTCGTGAATGATGGTTGAATTTGCAATTTCAGTTTACCGTTTGTGACTAGACAGGATATTGGCAATCTTTATACCATTTCCTTATGCCAGTTAGAACCGTGTTTCATTAGAAGATCATAATAGTTATTGAATTAATTTTTAACCTAATTATAACCAACTATGGCTAGAAAAATAATTAAAGTTAGGTTATACTTAGTTTTAATTTTAAGGGATTACATTAGTAATTGGGTAGTTTCCTAGGTCAAAAATAAATTAATTCAACTTTCCAATACAATCAAATATTGAAAAATAACTATACTTTTATTCATTGATCGAACGAGACACTAAATTTAAGATATTTATTAACATTTTTTTAAGAAATAAGTAAGCTATTTGACCTTATAATGCTATGACGTCATACTAGACTCAGCGTTTCATACAAATCTCATAGAAAAGTATCGTTTTTGACATTTGGATAAAAGTATTGAATTTGACTAGTTGGAAACTACCGTATTATTAGCGGTTAAATTTAATATTGTTTTTGGATTGTCAAAATCGACAGTTTTCTTTGATTGGTATTAAAATTGCGTTGATTATGACGCTTCTTTTTCCGGTGCGTGAAAAAAGTGCTTTTAGAAAGTTAGCTATAAAAATTCTAGTATTACCTACTTATATTATAATGTATCGTAAAAACAATGAGTAAAAGTGTGATAGGTATATTTACATAGCTTTTTGCACTGTGTTAAAGTCTTAATAATTTCTTTTTGACTAAGTCAAGTATCCAATTAACACGATTGACATGTTTTTTTATGAGTGAGGTTGGCAAACGAGCATTCGCTTTACCATGGTAAGCAATCGGCGCCACCCATGTAAACATGCAAAATTTGAGATTGCCTCCGATAACCTCCCGGCCACCAAAATGGTTTTCGTAGGTATAAACCTATCCTACTTCCTAGTGCCTTTCCCCCCAAAAGATAGGTGACTATTAAGGTTTTAATAACAATAAAGAAATGTTATTGACCTGCAGTATGATTCTTTAAGACTTAATTCTAAACTTCGAATCTGAATCCGCTGTGAGTAGGTAGTAGTACACTAGCGCTACACTTGCGAGTTGAACTAAATTGACAGCAACATTTTGATAGATAAAGTATGAGATGACGTTAAAAGTGGCATTCTATAATGATAATGTAATTTCCCCGTCACTTCGACGCTCACTTCACACCGAACAAGATTCAAAATCAAACAAATTTTATAAACTCGACGTGAAGGTCAAGTAAAACAGTCTATTTTGCACCAATTTTTTAAAGTTAGGTTATGTTTTTGAAAAGGAAACAAAGACTCCTTACAGCGCTTGCACCCTTTTAATAGGGCACGGGGGAATCGTGTCTATGACTTAAACTAAAAAGGGCGGGAAAAATAGAGGGGTGCAATGGCAAGTAATTAACGCGTTGCGTTGCACTAGAGTTGAGGTAAAAGGGAGGCTGAATAACTTCCGTGCCATTGCCTGCGTAAAGAGTTTTAATTGAAGTTTGTTTTTTTTTCGCTCACTTTTTTTTATTGTGCGTAAAATGGTGCTTATTCTTTTTAGTTTACACTAGACTCTAGTTTGATGTTACAAAGGGCTTATTTCGTCTATCCGTGATAATTAATATTATAGTGCTGGACATAGGTAATGCCTCAATTTTAATAAGGTTTCGGTATTAAAGTCTTCCTGACCTGGCAAACTTCGTTCAGCCACAAAATTAACTTAAGTTTTCTGACTCTTTTTAAATCTTCCCTGGACTTCCACGAATAATTCAAGATCAAAATTAGCCAAATCGGTAAAGGCATTGTTGAGATATATCTACAATTACAACGAAAATCAGCATTGGATTTTATATATATACCTATTTAGGTACTAACTTTTGCCCGCGACCCCGTTTGCGTGGAATAGTGACTTCCTGCAGATTTTTGGTATGAAAACTATCCTATGTCATTTCTCGAGTTCCAAACTATGTCTGTACAAAATTTTACAGAAATGGATTCAGTAGTTTTGGGTGTGAAGAAAAGACACCGCGGCCTCGGCCCAGAGCAGGAGAAGGAACGGGGGGTTTTTAGTCAGTAAGAGTCTGACATTCCCTCCTGCCCGACCCCGGCAGGAGAAGTCTGATTTTCCCCTGACAAAAAAAAGGTGTGAAGAAAAGACAAACAAACAAAAGACAGACAGAGTTACTTTCGCATTTATAGGTAATATTAGTTTGGATAGATAACGGAAAAATTTCACTTTAGGAAAGTGCTTCTCGAAGGGTTTTCTCTGTATTTTTCCATGACGCTGACTGTATACCTACAACCTACACAGTTTTATATGTATAAATAGATAGATACTTATCCATACAATATATTTAGTGACTGACTGAACGTCGTGGTGGCGTCGTGGTGGCCTGGAGGTGAAGGAACTCGGTTCTCGTGCATGAGAGTGTGGGTTCGAAACCTGGCAAGTGACTTTTTCCTAGTTATATGTATTTTCTATGATTTATATCTAGACACCACTGACATACGGTGAAGGTAAACATCGTGAGGAAACCTGGACTTATAATTCCTAATTAAAAGTTACCGGCGAAACACAACGCTGTGGTTATTTCACGCCGGTTTTCTGTGAGGCCGTGGTATCACTCCGGTCGAGCCGACCCATTCGTGCCGAAGCATGGCTCTCCCACACTTAATCTTATTTATATTCCGTATTGTCACCGAACAAATGTACCTACCTAATCAAGTAGAGTACCTTGTTAATGTAAACA